ATCTGGGCGGGCCTGGCAGTTGTTTTTGCCATCCGGGTATAACTTTCGAGACCCTCCAACAACACATGCGCTTTGGACTGGGGGCGTGGAAATCCATTTTCCTGCTGCGTATGTGGACCCTGACTCCCGATCCCTACTGACCAGGCGGGTTGACCACTTGCGCTCTCACTCTTGTACCTCCGAAACCGTGAAAACAATGGAGCGTGCTTATGTATGGGCAGCAATTTATTATGCAGACTTGATGTTGGTAGCCCTCACTTTGTTTGCCTTTTTACTACATATCTTTTGCCCTTGTAAATGTTCCTCTTTCAAGTGCCCATGTAGTTGTATCTGCTTATGTAAACCACCATCTCCTTCCCCTCCCCGTCCCCAAAGTCCGGGAGCACATCCCTCGGCCCAGCCTGAGACACATGCTGTTTAAGTAGGTTTGGGTAGAAAACTGTTGATTGGTAGTGTTACAGTTATTGTTACCTTGTCTATGTTTGGTTTAACCATGTCGAAAATTCTGTTATAGGTCTTTTCGGCGGTTTTGGTACTGGCTGTTTTTCTTCTGTCACATCTTTTACTTGGATTCTCTTCTTCCCACTAAAAATACCTCCATCCACCCTTCTGTCTTTGGGAATGCAAAGCCACTCTGATGTTGGACATGACTGTAAAGCACTTGCTGCACGAATTTGCCACTATTAAATCAAACCATACCAGGATGATTAGCAGAGGTCCGGTATAACGTATACTCCCACCTCTCATGCCTATGGGGTTGCAGCCCACAGCTGAGATAAAAGTCTTCCTGGTGGCGAGCACAGAGGTTAACCCGGTCTTGCCCTCTACTGTTTAACGAATCCATGTGTTACGAGTTAGTCAATTCAAGTGCAGCTCCTTTGTAGCCACTTCCTTTGTTTCTAAGCAAAGCAAAATTTTTGGCACTTCCTGATAGTGTCCTTCCATCAACTCTCAGGGACATCACAAATTCTGGGGACTAACCTTTTTTCCCCGTAAATCAAGGTTACAGATCATGCCCCTTCCCTATACAGTTATAACACAATTTTCTCCATCTGTGAGAAATACCACCTCCGGTGACACATTTCACATCACACAAAACCCACGCTTCATGACATCCATACATACACTCAAGACAAGGTATTACCCTATTAGGTTGATTTTCTAGCAATGCCTGATCGAATCCAAAATGCTCATAATCTATTACCAAGAGCCACTCTGTCACATGTCTGCCAGTTAATGCTCGGTAAACGCCAGCTTTTCCCTGACATTTTTTTTTTTGTTGTTCTTTTGGTTTTTTTTGCTTCCTTATACAGTAAGTAAGTAAATGAATAAGTAAATTTTCACAGTGCTACCTCTGAACCCAGTCAAAAACCCAGTCAAACCACTAGTTAAGAGTCATTCAATCCCCTCCTGATGAATTTACTTAGTCCTTTGAGGGTGACTTGTAGTTGGTCAGCGGATGGTACCACAGTCCACTCCTGAGGCTTTTCCACCAGTCCTTTTCCTCAGGAGGCAAGAGTCCACCCCTTTTCTTTTGTTCGGATCTCTGTCTCGGTGGTCAGCAGCACCTGAAATGGACCTTCCCACTCGGGAATTAATGATTAACCTTTCCACACTTTTATCAATACCCAATCACTTGGTTTTACATTGTGGATATTAAAAGCCAATGGTGGTATTTGAGGCAGAAGCCCTTTCTTTCTTAGTTTCATTAAAGTGTTAGCTATTCTTATTACATACTTTCTTACATACTGATCTCCTACTTCAGGGATGACAATAGCCCTGTCATTACTCATATATGGTAATCCAAACATCATTTCATAGGGAAAAATTCCCAGGTCTGCTCGTGGCTGAGTATTGATCCTTAATAAGGCCAACGGCAGGCATTTAATCCAAGACATCTGAGTCTCAATCATTAACTTAGTCAAGGGTTGTTTTGAAGTTTGATTCATTCTTTCTCCTCTTCTAGAACTCCGAGGATGCCATAGGGTGTGCCACGCCCATGCGATCCCTAAGGCTTCAGATAGTTGTTGCATAATTTTTAAAATGAAATGTGTTCCTCTGCCCACGTCTATTCTTTCTATTAATCCATATCTGGGGATAATGTTTTCCAATAACACCTTGGATACCATGGTTGCCATTGCTCTTGGTGTGGGGGATTGCTTCCACCCGACGAGTTAAGTGAGCCACTAATACCAACAAATACTTCCACCCTTGTATTTGAGGTAGCTCTGTTAAGTCTACCTGGAGGCTTTGTATGGCTAGCTCCTGTTCCCCAGCCACCTTTTTCTCGTTACCTTTTTGTTCACTTTTTGACAAATCAGACATCGATCAACTAGTTGTTTAGCCTCCGTATATATTCCTATACACCCATATTGTCTAAGAAAATGATCACAAAGTGATTGCGTTCCCCAATGTATTTTCTGATGTATTAATGACAGAATTTCTCATGATCATGTTTTATTTAACATCTACCTTCCATCTGCTAAAGTCCATTTTCCTTCTGGATCGTTCCCCCCGCTTATTTTTAAGTATATCTTTTTCTTGTTCTGTGAAATTTGGGGCTAAATTCTCATAATCCCCCATTGTTATTACCAATAAAACTACTGATGATAATTCTGTAGCTGCTTCTCTGGCTACTTAGTCTGCTAAATTATTCCCCCTTATTTCCATCGATGCTCCCCTCTGATGTCCTTTCACATGCACAATTGCAATTTCTGTAGGGAGCTTCAGGGCTTCTAAAACTTCTCTGATCAGCTGCTCGTGTACTAGCTCCTTCCCTTTTGTATTTATAAGCCCTCTTCCTTCCCATATTTTTCCAAATGTGTGGACCACTCCAAATGCATACTTTGAGTCTGTGTACACTGTCCCTTCCTTATCTCTCAAATATACCAATGCCTGTTTTTAGGGCATAGAGTTCACAGACTTGTGCTGACCACCCAGCAGGTAATTTCCCCTTTTCAAACACTTCCATCTTCTGCCCCTCGATAATTGCATAACCCAATATTCCTTCTCCTTCTAGCCATCAAGAGGACCCATCAATAAATAGTTTTTCCCTATAGCGCAAAGGTTCATTGAACAGATCTTCTCTTATTTTCGTTTGATAACTTATAAAATCCAAACAGTTATGCTCTGGTTCCAGAATATCCTCCCCGATTCTCCTCCCATAATTCTAGTAATTTAACCACCAGTTTTCCTTCATCCAGCACCACACCTATTCCTAATTGCACTTGTAAATCTCTACCTAGCAAATTACATCCTACCCCTGGCATTAACAACAGATCATTAACAGCATATTGATCTTCCCCTTGTATTAACACATTCTTTATAACTGGGACTGAAAACCCCTTCACCTTTAGCCCCTACAGCCCAAGTTGTATCTTTTACATAATCTTCCTCCTGGGGACTCAATTTCAAATTTATCAAGGGCTCTTCTGTTGGTATACCCCCCAGGAGGTAGAGCCCCTGACACCCCCAGTGATTACCACCCTCATCCTGTTGGGTTACTTCAAACACCAACAGGTCCCGTATTCTCTGGGGGCATTCTTGTTTATAATGTCCCCCCCCCTTCCCACAATAAAAACATCCCCTTGTGATTTCCCTAGCCAGTGGTGCCTCTTGGTTCCACCTTCACTTTCATTCCCTTGCTTGTTTCAAATTTGTGATTTCCCCTCTGAGATTCCCTGTGTTTATTTCTAACAGCTTCTTGTGCAGTTATCATAATTTTAGCTTTAGTTTTAGCCTTTTCTTCATCCTTCCTAACATATACTTTCTGTGCTTCTCTCAGGAGTTCATCCAGACCCTTATTATAATGACCTAGAGTCACTCATATCTCTCCTCCGCTCTTGTTCATTCTGATTCCACTGCAGAGGGGTTACAGGGAGTTTCTTTTCCCCGGGTATCCCCTGCTGATTTTCTCTCTCCCATATCCACATTCCAGCCGTTCTGATCATCTGTCTTTCTTCAGGAGAAAAAAAAAAAGATTCCCATAATCGACTGCATCTCCTCCCATGTATATATGCTGGGTCCCAAAAATTGACAGCCCCACAGGGTCCTCTAATAACCTCCTTAATTCATTCTTATATGCCCTCACTTCTACATTAGTTAGCAGCACATCCACAAATCCCATCCCCCCTTGAATTCCTGCCGCTGGAACTTCCCCGCAGGGATTAACCCTAGCCTCCCCGTGCTCCCTTAAACAATTCCCCCCCCTTCATTGCTGCCAGGTTTCAGGTCTGATATTAACAACAGGAGCCTCCTCACCCGCATCTTCCTGCTGCACACCTTGATTTCCTAGGAGTGCCGGGTTATATGGGAGGGGTAAATTATCCAAAGGGTCCCATCTCCTTCCCTTTCACCTTCTTCAACCTGCTCCTCCTGCTTCAATTAAAAAATCCCAAATCTCTGCGACCCCCTCCAACACGAGGCATATTCACTTTCTTCCTGATTAAATGGTTCCTTTGAATTAACATAAATATTAAGAGCTTGACAAATCCAATCCTCTTCTGATCCATATTTTGGCCAATTCACCAAATCTTCCCTGATAGGTCTTTTAGTCCACTCAAACATACAATAATTTACCATCTTGATCTTACTCTTCCCTCTGGTACATGGGCTATAATCCCAGTTTTCTAATATATATTTTTTTTCTTCTTCTTTTTTTTTTTTTTTTTTTTTTTTTCTCCCAGCCTTTCCCTAATGGACTGTATGGGAAATGGCAATCTTTGGCTCCCTGTTACCCTGGGAACTCAACTATCCAGCTCCTAGTGTCTTGTTCACTCAACTAGACTAACTGAAGTTTCTTGTTTCCCCTTCCCTCCCGCTGGAGCTGTTCACTCCTTTTCACTCGCTTCGTCTCTTCACCGGCCGTCCCCCTCGCGGGAGCACGGAACCACGGTTAGAAAGACTCCACAATCGCTTCGCAAGTGTGACCTGGTGCCTCGCATCTCACACACACACACCTTTCAGTCTTCCCCGTATCTTGCCATCTGGACACTACTTACAGTCCCCTTTTCGTTGCCCGGGTCTTGTGCACAAGGTGTAACGTCTGCCGCGGTCTCCAGGGAGCCCTACCCCCTCTTTGGCCCACGAGTCCCCCGCCGGGATCGTCACCGTCGACCTCCGATGGCGCCGGAGGGAACCGAAGAGACCCCTGAACTCAGCGGGGCGCGCCTTCCATTCAGGGCCCTCTGGCTCCACGGCGGCGAGGCTTCTGTCCTCCCGGACGAGCCCCCAGTTGTGAGAAACAAGCCCACGTATATAAAAAAGTTTTACTGGGGACAAAGTCAGTGGAGCAAAGAATACAGGGCTGGGCGCAATGGCGCGCCCTGGAGCCAAAAGGGGCTCCCTTTTATTGTATAAATGGTTACATATTCATCTACTCTAATACATATGCATCACTACTTCTAAGGATAGGGAGGGAATATTACAATTAGTTCCGAGGAATCATTAACATATCCCCCACCCCAAAGTCCTCCCGTCGCACTTGTGCAGTGCTCCCTGGTGGTCATGGGCAGGGGTCTGCAGATGAAGGCTCGTAGTCTTCTTCACTGTGTTGGCTCATTGACCCTTACTTCTGCGCCAACTCAGTCCTGTGGTCACGTACACCTTGTCCTTCAAGTCTGGGCTAATTTGCAGCTCCTTTGTCTTTCTGGCTCAGTGGTTTCAGTTCCTCTCTTACCTCAAGGACAAGAGGTACCAGGGATGACCCATCCTTTTCTTTCTCATTCCATTGCAAAGGAGTTACCATCCTTTGATATGGACCATCTGGTGAGCATTCCAAAGAAAAAAGGGGGGCTGTTGGGTTGTTGTTTCCTCTGACCAATCTCCACCCCCCCTTCTCTTTTCCCACTAGTAAATTATTTTACTTTTCTTAAAATTTGTATCATTGTACTAATAATAGCTTTAGCCTAATTCAATAAAAGTAATTGTTTAATTACTTTTAGCGAAAGCAAAATTCTTCTATTATTTATCACAGTTTTTACCAGTGGGAAGTGGAAAGCCGAAGAGGAGTTGCTCGCCCGTTTGTTTTATCTGTTTGTTTTCCGCTGGTTTTAAAATGTACTGCTGCTAACTGTGTCTGAGCGCACCTGGCTTTCCTCCTTCGCAGGAGAACACAGAGCGCGTCCCGAGGGCGGAGGCTCTCGCTCCTCAGCAGGTTCCCGGCCCGTCCCTGAGGGGCAGCCGCCCGCACCCAAACCGTCCTCGGAGCGGCGGGGGGGCGGCGGGGGAAGCCGGGCCGGCTGCAGCCTGGCCGCCGGCGGCTGCGCAGCTCCTGCCCGCTCCAATTAATTGTGCGGGAAGCCTTCCCCCTCCCCTGCCGCCCCCCGCGCCCGCCCGCGGAGCGGCTGCAGCCGCGGAGGGGAGCGGAGCGGAGCGGAGCGGGGCCGAGCGGCGCGGCTGACGGGGGGGAATCCCGCCCGCCTCCCTGAGGGCGCTGCCGCCGCCGCGCCGCGCATGCACGGGCTCGGCCCAGGCTCGCGCGGGGCGGCCGGGCGGGCTGGGGCTGCTGGAGCCGTGCGGGGCCGCCCGGGGCTCTGCCGAGCGCTGCCGCGTCCTGGGCGCCCGCCGGCGGGCCTCGCCGCGGGAGATCCGCCGCGGCTGCCCCCGCGCCTCGCTCCGCGTCCACCCCGGCCGCGCCGAGCCCCACGCCGAGGAGGCGGCGACACGGCGGTTCCAGGTGAGGGAGGCTGCCGGCCGCCCCGCTGCTGCCGGCCTGACCGGCCGGCCCCTCTGTGCCCGTAGATCCTGGGCAAGGCCTACGCTGCCCTCAGCGAGGTGGAGCAGCGCGCCCTGTACGGTGAGCAGGGCACGGTGGGCAAGGAGGGCGAGGTGCTGAGGGGCGAGCGGGACTGGCGGGAGTACTGGCGGCTGGTCTTCAAGAAGGTAAGAGCTGGGCCGGGCCCCGCAGGGCTCGCCTGGGCGGGGGCAGGCCCTGCGGGAAGCGGGGAGCTCCCTGCTTCGGGCCTGTGGCTGTGTCTCCCTGGCGAGCTTCAGGTAAAGCACGTGGCTTCTCTTGTTTTGCTTTGTTTTGTTTTGTTTTGTTTTGTTTTGTTTTTTAACGCTGTCTCTGAAATCCATCCGGTGAATTAATCATGTAACTCCAGAAGTGTCACTTCTTTGCTTCAGATCACAGTGAAAGATATTGAAGACTTCGAAAAGAGCTAGAAAGATTTGGACAAACAGCTAGCTGTTATTAAAGCAGCGTACGTGGATTTTGAGGGTGACCTGGACAGAATAATGGAGTCTGTGTTGTGCATGGACTATACAGATGGACCAAGAACATGGAAAATTGGAGAAAAAGCCATTGCCTCTGGAGAAGTCCCATTCTACAAAGGTTTTGTAAGAGAGTCTAAGCAGAAAATGATTGCGAGAAAAAAGCGGGTAGGTTATATCAATCCGGGACCAAAGGGAAGCATTTTTTTTATGCTAAGTTTTTAATCTTCCTTGTTAGAAATAAAATGGAACTGTTCTTGAGGCAAATGTTTGCTACAGGATTTCTGGGTTACAGATCTTGCTCTGTGTCTTTGACTTTCACATTTGGACACCTGTGTTATCCCCCCTTCCCCCCCCCCCCCCCCCCCCCCAAAATTGTTGTGAAAGGCTTTTGAGCTATGATAGGCTGCTGCCAATCTTCATTCCTTTGTTTTATTATTAATTCTTTATTTTATTATTATACACAATGGCTTATTACAGTTTGGCATGTCCCTGCATTTATTTACACAGCTATGAGTTGCTGGAGTTCAGTGTACGTGGTAGAAATACATTATGCTCGCCTTCTGGCGAGTGTGAAATAACATTCTGGACTAAATGGAGCTCTTCTTCAGTGTGGGGTTTTTGAACACTTTGTAGATCTTACATGCACATCGCAGTAACCGTTCTCTAAGTTAAAGAAAATGTAATAGCTGCCAAGACAAAAAAAGCGTGGGTGGGGGGAACAGGGATAGGCTTAGACATCACATTCAGCATTGTGAAACAACAAAAAACTGTCCCCCTCTACTAAAGCCAGAATGGTCTTTCTTTCACCAGTTTGTCATCTGTGGCCAAATTTGGAAATGATTTGTGTTTCCTTGCAGCTAGTTGTATACAGATTAAAAAAAAAAAAAAAAAAAAAAAAAAAAAGTTTCATAACTATTATAAGACTTTGTCAAATAACTTGCAAAATACTTGTTAAAAAACTAGTTTGCTATTTTCGGCAGAAAAAGAAGCTAGAGAGGCAGAAGAGACTAAATCTGAACTGGGACTTGGTGGAGAAGATGATTTGAAAGCGCTGATTCAAGTAAGGCTTTTTCTATCTGCTGAAGAGAAGTATGTTACTGGCCTATAATTCTGTTCTCCCTGAGCCTCTTTGTAGTTTGGATCCTTGCAAGTTGAGAATTCAGAGGTTAAAACCTGACCTTAATGTTAGCTAGCTATGTACTTTACTTAATAGTCAGTGTGGTATGGATTTTACTGCCTGCGTCTTTTGAAAATTAACAAAGTTATTCAAATATCCTTATGGCATGCACAATCAAAATATTTAACTTCTAGTTTTAGGTAGGTAGACAGGGAGTATTAATGATTCTTTCCCTGAGGGATTCCATCAGGATGTAGAAGCTGATAGGTCTTACTGTTTTGTATCTTGAGGGCCGAGGAAAGAAACATACTGTTTACATTCTGCTTTTTGGAATGTTTTCTGTTTCTCATCATCCAGTGGGATTCCTAGAACCTTAATGCTTAATCATTCCCCAAACTGTAGTAGAGTTTTGGGTCTAAACTTGGAAATTGTTTTGCTTTTCCTAGGCTTATGTTGGGAATTTTTATAGCCACTTTACGTCCGTCTCGATAATTCAGGAGAAATTAGGTATAGAGCCTAGAGTACACAAGTAGAATTTTGCTTGATGGTACTATACTTTGTATTGTATTATATTTGTATTGTATTATACTGCTTGCATTCCCTGTTTAATATATTCCAATATTTTATGTAGCTGTCATACTATCAACTTCAATAGAATAATCTGTACTAGGAAGTAGTAAAAGTTTTGGGTCGGTTTTCTTTTTAATTTCCTTTCCCCCAGAGCAGAAGTAAAGATCGAAAAAGGGAAATGGATGACTTTTTGGCCCAACTGGAATCAAAATACAGGAAAAATGCTAAAAAAGGAGGAAAGACGACCGCAGCCAAGAAAGGAAAGAAATAAAGAACTGTGTAGGCTGAGATACCAGGTATCATTTTGTATGGGATCACGTGGATTTGGGAGAATTTCAGAGTTTTTCTGGGCTACTGTTTCAGAGTGTGTGCATCAGTTTGCTGTGACTGGGAGGTATGATACAGAATGCATCATGAACAAGACAAAGCATTCTGGTGCTACTCTTTAAAAATCCTTTGGATGCTCTTCGGTTAAGGATCAAACAGATTCCTGAGTAAAAGTTGTTACAGTAAGGAAGCGGTGTGAGGTTTGGGACCATGGTGCGTTTATTAAACTTCTTTTGAAGCAGCTTCCTTCCAAACACCTAATGGATATTGGTACAGTTGATGGTAAAACGGTGTAACCCCTCACCTTTGAGAGTCTTCAGTGGCGATTCCTGCGGTTTCCGAGTTGGAAACCTTATCTTTTTGCTAGTCACATGTTTCTTATGTAACAAACCTTCTGCTGTTTGTTAAAAGTCTTTGAAATTCAGCTCAACAGGTATTTTCAGTGGTTTTCTAAAGATACTTTGGAATATTGCAGATTTAATAAAGGAAAAGTTTTCATAGAATTCTGTGCTAAGTTGCCCAGCCCTCTCTACGTTTTCTATGTAGCTGTTCAAAACAAACTGATTGTGTGGACTCTTCTGACTGATTTAAGTCAAGTAAATACTACACACTTGTATAGCAGCTGTAACTATGGCTACATTGATGACTGCCATGTCAGTGCTGGTGATGCCATGTTCCATGAAAGGGCCAGCTCGTGTTTGGCCTTGGATTGCCTGTGGCAGATGCCTTAGGAAGAAGACTGCAGCATGTATGTCACTGTGCAGGAATCCTCTGACACACTGAGGTGAGGCAATAGCTGAAAAATCCACAGGAGAGAGTCAGTCCTGTGCATTTCTTGGGTTTGTGATGTCCCATGACAAGGAGTTCCAAAGCTCAGAAATGCATTGCTTGTTATTGCAATAGCATCACAGTCAAGTCTGCTGTAGGGTGGTAGTGATTAGCTACTTCACTATATTTGTCAACCCTTCTGTTATTTCAGAAGTGAATTACTTAAGTAGGATCTGCAAACACTTGAAAGGTTTATGCTTCAGCTGTTTTTAAACCACCTGACAGTGTGTAGGGGTATGAATTTGAAGG